AAGGAAAGGGAAGGACTCATTTGGCTGATTCATTCTTCCAGTAAAGAAAAAGGGAAGGGAAATCATCCACTGTGTGATTAGATAAAGATGGGGCTGAAGGGGATGAGGGGTGACCTGTACATTTTAAACTACTGAGAAAATGAAAATGAACTCAGAGAAAATAAAAATCTTGCTTGCCATTCACACAGATAAAGCCATTGTTTCTGCAAAGAAACAATGTTTCTTGCAAGGACTTGCTCCTATAATGAAGTATCAGTAGGACCCTTCTTGAGTAAGCACTCATTGAGGAATGGCAGTTCTCTAAGATCAGGGATCACCAGAGACTTGCGGTCTAAATCACTAAAGTAGGACTAAAGCATGCACTTGTTTGTTTTTCTTTTGATGTGTTGGGGACAAAACCCAGGAAGTCCTGCCTTCTAGGCAAGCACTCTTCCACTGAACTAGATCCCCAGCCTTATCCACCTCTTGATTGTTAGTTCTAAGGCAATCAAGTCACTTCAGATGAGGAGTTTCTGGTCCCATCATTCCACACTAATCTTTTTTTTTTTAATTTGTTTTCCACACTAATCTTAACTACAGTTTCACAGAAACAGGACCCTGTGTCCAGTTACCATTCAGACCTAGGCTGACTCCTGTCCATGCACCCTTGCTTTGCTAGGAGTGACTGATGTGCTGCTTCATTTCCATCTTAGCCTAGCTTTATCCAATGTCTATGGTGAAGCAAACTTTTCCTTTGCTGACAAGGCACTCCAATCATTCCCCTGCTATGTGGCCTTCCTTGTTGGAATGAGTCAGTAAACCTGACTTTCAGACTAAAGTTCACCCTTGAGGGTCTCAGACTGGACCTGCGTGCTAGCATTTCAGCTCAGATCCTCTTTCATGACTGGCAGGCCTGTGTTTTCAAGTGTTTATAGAAAAGTTACAAGGGGAAGATCCTTTAAGTCTCTCAAATGAACATGATTGATACGCAGTTTTTATCTTCCTCTCCTTTAAAACTCTGTGCTTACTTTCCTTATCTTGGCCAATAAGCATTAGCATGTAATTAGAAATCTAGACATCACCCATCACTCTGTTCTTCCTCCTTCTCCCATAGTCAGTGAGCCTTGCTAGATTTCCAGGTTCTAGTGCAGTGCCGGGCACATAGTAGGTCCTCAGCAAGTTGAATAGTGTCTGGATGAAGAGACACTAGGCGCCTGGTGCAGTTTCTGATTGCGGCCTTCACACTGTTGTGCATACCCTCTGCTTGGTAAGCTCAGCCCCCTCTGGATCCCAGCTCCTCTGGGATGCCTTCTTGCCTCACTCCTCTGGGATGCCTTCTTGCCTCACTCGTCCTAGGAAGAAATAGGAAGAGATCTCTGTGTGTGTCCCCAGTGCATGTTGTGGGGTCTCATTTGAGCACGAATCACAGTGTTTTGTAGTTACCTGTTTTTAGTTATTCTTCTCTTGATGGCTCTGAGCTCTTGGAGAGCCTGTTCACAGTAGCTGTGGTAGAAAGTGACACAAGAGATTGGCAGGGCTGGAACAGGATCAAAAGGATAGGCAAGTCAAGCTGGAGGTCTGCTGGGGCATCTTCCAGAAGTTGCTTCACTCAGGCCATTCCCGTTGCAGGTTCTCATCTCCGCCCCTGCCCATCTTCATCTCTCTTGGACCACTAATTGCCAAATCCTTATCTTTTTCTAATCCTGTCCTTCCTTCAGAGCCCAGCCCTGGCTCCACCCTGTTCAGGAAACCTCAAGGTCATTGCTCATCAGTTCACTTGTTACATGGCAAGTATTTCTGTGGAACCCCAACTGGGTGTAAGGAGGCCAGGAGCCAACGAGGATAAGGAAAGAAGTCCAGCAGCCTATGGCCTAAGGAGCTTATCACCATAAACTTGGACTTTAATTTGCATACATTTAAAAAATAGAATATTACTTATATATCTTAAGACTGATATTTCATTTTAAAAGCAATTTAAAAGAAAAATAAAATCACCCATAATCTTATTGCCCAGAGGCAACCTCTGTTAACATTTTAATGTATTTTCATCTAGCATTTTGAAAAAGTAGTTTATAGCCAGGGGCCTGTGGCTCATTCCTATAATCCTAGCTACTCAGGAGGCAGGGGTCAGGAGGATCATGGTTTGAAGGCAGCCTGGGCAAATAGTTTGTGAGATCCTATCTTGAAAAAACCCATCACAAAAAAGGGCTGATGGGGTGGCTCAGGGTGTAGGCTCTGTGTTCAAACCCTAGTACCACAAAACAAAAACAAAAACCCAGTTCATAACTTTTTACTTCGAAATACCTTCAGTCTTATAGAGAAGTGGTGGCCTTGCAACTCTTGCCTTTTACCTAGATTCCCCAGTTTTTAACACTTTGACATGTTTCCGTGTTGTTCTTGAGGTAATCAGAAAGTCTGGAAACAGCAAATATACATGTCATATTAAGAACTTCTTCATTCTGTAAAAAGAAAAACAATAGTATCTATGCTTTCAGATTTTATGGCTGCTCTGTGTATTCACACATGTCCTTTTCCCTCAGTCATTTAAGAGTAGATAACATCAATTTATCCTGTAATACTTCAGTGAATGTCTCTTAAAAGGACATTCTCTTCATAACCACAGTATAGTTATTATACTCAAGAAATTTAACATGGCTACAATACTGTTTTATTAACCTGTAGTCCATATTCCCATGTTGTCAGTTTCATTAATGGCCTTGATAACATTTCCTCTCTAATCCATGATTCAATCCCAAATCACACAATGCAGTTAGCTGGCTCTTTAGTTTCCTTTAATCTAAGTCAGTTTTTTCAGTTTGTCTCTAGGACATTGACATATTTGATGAACAAGGCTAGTTGTTTTATGGAATGTTTGTCAGTTTAGGTTTGTCTGATGTTTCCTTGTGATTAGGTTAATTCTTAATGGAATTCCATGTTGGTGATGTTGTGGACTTCTCAGGGTGTCACATTGAGGCATGTAATGTTCATCTGCCCCTCAGTAGCCTTTTTTTTTTCATTTTTTGAGACAGGGTCTCACTATGTAGCTAAGACTGGCCTCAAACTCACAATCCTCCTGCCTTAGCCTCCTGAGTTATGGCATTACAGGCATGTACCACTGCTTCTGGCTGTCAGCAGTCCTTGTCATTTGGGGAAGGATAGCACTTCATTATTTTCAGGCACAACAAAACATACCACTTTTATCTTGTCCCTGCCCTGCTCTAGTCCCTGGAATCAGCCACTTCTCTAAGAAACCCTGCTTCCTTTCAGTGGATCAGGACCTGGATGTCATCTGACCTTTTTGCTTCCCATTTAGTACCCATTTATCTCCTTGCCTATTAAGTTGGTATTATATGCTTATATGGATTTTACAGAATCATAAACATTTTCCACATCATATCTGTTATCTGAATACATGATTTTATTTATTTATTTATATTTGGCGGTGCTGGGGTTTGAACTCAGGGCCTCATGCTTGCTAGGCAGGTGCTCTTATCACTTGAACCACTCCTCCAGACCTTTTTTTGGTGATGGGTTCTTTTTGAGGTAGGGTCTCGTGAATTATTTGCCTGGGGCTTGCTTTAAACTGTGATCTCTTGATACCTCCCTCCTGAGTAGCTAGGATTACAGGCATGAGCCATGGTGCCTGCTGAATACATGATTTTACATAGCTGCTTAGTATTCAGTCATATGAACGGACCATCACTTATTTAACCATCCACCTTTATAAATAATGCAACTGTGGACATCCTTGACATGTGGTTCTAACCACATCTCTGAAAATTGTTTCCTTAAACTAAATCCTCAGAGCTGAAATTTTCCAGGTCAACAGTGTGGGCATCATGGATGTGTGTCTCAAGTGGAGAATGGTTCAGGGCATTTGAGCTTTGAGAGGTTAGAAAAGCAATTGTTTTGGGTAGGAATGGTGCTGATTTGCACCTGGAGCCAGGTGGAAGTAGGGGTGGAGAGGCTGCTGTGTGCAGAGGGTGCCAAGGTGAGCAAAGAAATGGGCTGGGATGGGCCTGGTATGTGTTGGAACTGTGAGGTAACATGGGGCCTATTGCAGGTCTTTACTGGGGAGGGAAAGGAACGAAGTTGACTGCAGAGTCTTCTGCCCTAGTGAGCAGGGAGAGGGGGCACAGAGACTGCTGTTTCTTCCACTGTGCAGAGGATGGTGCTTGGAGATCTGTGAGGCTCTAGGGAGGAATTTGGGGCAGAGCCCGGCGTGTAGTGAGGCATGAACCTCCAGCATTTGCAGCCTTCCCCTTCATCCTTGGGCTTGGCACCCTCTCTTCTTCCCCTGAGCTCAGCTTTGCCCAGCTGGCTTTGTCCCTAGGCAGAAGGCCTAACAGTAGGGTTGCTAGGTTTCCTTTCATTATGCTCGAATGTTTGTGGCCTGCTTAGCACAAAGCCTTCCTTTTCCAGGGCCCCTCTTCTGGGGCAAGGCTGGGGGGTAGGTGGCCCCTTGTCCTGTGCCTCACAGCTTCTCCAGGGTTGTAGGTTGAAGCAAGGCTTCCGGGCTGTGAGTTTGGTCTGCCATACTTGGATTCTGCCTGTGGGGAGCTTCTTCTCCCTAGGGGCAGAGCAGGACCTTGAAGAAGGGCTCTGTGAGGGGCCGGAGGACTGTCTTTCATTCTAGAGTTCTAAAGCAAGGCGGGAGGCTGGGAAGTGGCTAGGGACCAGGCCTTACCTTCAGCTTTCAGTGATGCTTGGGAGGTTCTGAAGGGTTCAGAATAGATCTCAGGACAATGGGAGAAAAGGAGGAAAGTGAGAGGCACCTGGAAGAGATATTGGGTCAGTCACTGAGTATCTTAGTGGTCTCTGAGTTGATTTAGGAAGCTCTCAGCCTTGGGAAAGCTTGACTCAGTTCTCTGAGCAATGAGGCCTCATTGGCCTTCATCACCCACATGGGGAATCCTGAGGACTGGGGGACACCAATCATAATGGTGAGCTATGGGTAGGGTCCCTAGTGTCCTGAGCACAGTGTATAGCATCTGACTCCTCTCTCCTACCTCCTTTTCCAGACGTCCTTCTATGGCCGCTTCAGACACTTCTTGGACATCATTGACCCTCGCACTCTCTTTGTCACTGAGGTAAGTCATGGCCATCACTCTCAGTGGAGGCTCCTAGGCCTCTGTACCTTGTCACTTTGGAATGTGTGGGTCATCTGAAGGGATGGGGGAGTGAAGAGGATAGGGGAGGTAGGAAGTGAGAGGAAGGGAACCTGTCTATGTCTATGTCTCTTATCAGTCAAGAGAAAGAGAGCTCGTATACTGTGCTCATTTTCACAGTATTTCATTTGGGTCTCACAATATCTTTCAAGATTAACAGTATTATTATTTTTATTATTATTATTACTTAAAACCTTAATGACATTATTACCAAATATTTATTACATAAATAATATCTTATTACATAAGTTCAAATAATGCTGGGCCTATAGCTCAGTAGTAGAGCTCTTGCCTACCAGGTGAGAGACCCTGGGTTCAATTCTCAGCACCACAAACTCACACATAAAAATTAAATTAAGTTAAAAAAAAATTTAAACAAATGTGTTTTAAGAAGGAAAAGAAGGTATCCTTTAATTATCCTCCCTGCCCAATTCCCTCTTCTCACAGATAACAATTGTTAAAGGCTTTTAATTCAGGTCTATTAAGGCATGATTTACCATTTTAGCAGTATTGGGATTTGAACTCAGGGCCTCATGCTTGCTAGTCAGGTGCTCTACTACTTGAGAGACTCTACCAGCCCTATGATTTGCCTTTTAAAATTGAACAGTTCTTTGCATTTTGACAAATGTATTCAGTACTGACAGCTACAATCAAGATGCAAAACATTTCTGTCGCTCTAATATGCCTACTCATTTTTTTTTTTAATGGGACTGGGATTTGAACTCGGGGCCTCATGCTTGCTAGGCAGATGCTCTCTCTACCACTTGAGCCACTCTGCCAGCCCCTGTTGCTCATGGTTCTTTATAATCAGTTCTCTCTGTCCTCAGCTTCTGGGATCTACTCGTCTGTTTTGTGTTTCTATTGTTTTGCTGTTTCCAGACTGTCATATTAATGGACTCCTATGGTATCACCTTTAGAACCTAGAACCTGGCTTCTTCCCTGTCACATAATTTTTTTTTTTTGGCAGCACTGGGGTTTAAACTCAAGGCATCATACTTCCGCTCTTACTGCTTGAGCCACTTCACCAGCTCTTTTTTTGTAATGGGTTTTTTTTGAGCTAGGATCTCATGAACTATTTGCCTGGCTTCAAATCTCAGTTCTCCTGATCTCTGCCCCCTGAGTAGATAGGATTACAGGCGTGAGCCACTGGTACCTGGCTCCCCTTTACATAATTCTTTTGAGATTCATCCATGCTGAATATATCAGTAGTTCGTGCCCTCTTATTGCTGAGTAGTGTCCATTGAAAGGATATTCCAGAATCTGTTTACCCATTCACTTATTGAGGAATACCTGGATTTTTTCCCAGTTTTTGGCTATTATGAATAAAATTACTATGAACATTTCTTTTTTGTGTAGATGTATGCTTTTATCTCTCTTGAATAAATAGCCAGGAATGGGATTGCGGAATCATATGGTAAGTGTGGTAAATACACATTTAACTTTATCATAAACTGCCAAACTGTTGTTCAGAGTGACTGTACATTTTACATCCCCATCAGCAATACATGAGAATTCCAGGGGCTCCACTTCCTCACCAACATTCATTATTGTCAAATGTAAAAAAATTGGGTGTGTCGGGGGGACACCATCCTAAGAAGTATGTCTTTAAAAGCTTATTGTATATATTAGCAAATATATGTAAGAATACATGTACATATAAAATAGCAAGCATTTATGAAATATACCATGAGCAACACAATTTGTAAACATGTTAAAATACTGATACAAAACATTATACATATTTGCAGTTACATGTGGCATTTCCATACACGCATGTGTAATGTCCAACTCAGAGTAAGCTTATCTGTCCCCTCAAATATTTGTCATTTCTCTGTGGCAAATTTGTAAACATTTTACATGTATTAGCTCAAAGCCACCCTAAGAGGGGGATCTGTTATACATCCATTTTATAGATGAAGAAACAGAAGTTAAGTCATGTACATGACCAGTAGTAGGGCCAGGGTATGAACCTACATAGGCTTGCTCTCAGCCAGTTTGCACTCCTGTTCAGGTAACTTTAGTTAACTCACCTAAGGTTACTCAGTCAGCAGAAGGCTTAAACACCATCCCTGAGTTCCCATACCCTGAGGCAAGTCACTGAGCCTCTGAGGTAGCAGCCCAACTCCAAGCACTTCATGTGTTTCTGTGCTGAGCATTGACCTGTTCTAGAGAGAAAAGCCATGATAGGAAGAAGCACAGAACCCGTGGGGCCCCTGGGCCTAAAACCATCTCCCCTGTGGCTAGGTAGCAGCCCAGTGACATGAAATGTGGTCTTTACTCTGATACATGGTTTCCTACTGCATCTCAGCAAAGACAAAGAACTCGGTTATTTTACTGACTGACCTTATTTGACCATCTGGGCTACTTACTACCTCTTTTTTTGGGACCATTTTAATTTTTATTAATAAAATAGAAACTTAAACTCAAGACAACTTCTTTGTTTTTGCATCTTATCTGACCATATACTAGAGTGATAATTTTTTTTTATAGAAGGACTTAGATGAGAATTGTCAATATGCTAGTTCTGTCAAAAACTGCCAATTAGAATATCTAAAGTTTGGTAAATGAAACATTAAAAAGAACAAATTAAATATTAGAAACCATAGAAGTCTTTTCTAAGTCTTCAATGTAGCTTACTTGCAGTCATAAAAAAAAAAATCATTAGACCAATCATATTGTACAACCCCTAAAGGAAAAAACTGAAGGAACTTACAGATAATTTTCACAGCTTCATTGTCAAGTCCAAGATCAAAAGGACTGCTGTCTTCTCTAAACTGGACATTGGATGCACACATAATGTTTGCCTTGGCTGTTACTCTTCCAACTATTTCTACTATATCTGAGATTTCTACTATATCAGGGATTTCTTTCTCCATCAACTCAGTGGTTCCATTATTTCCTCCTCCATCTAACAGAATAAACATTTTTTTCCAGTAGGATGAATCTCTTCCAGCCTGCCAACAAAGCAAACCTGCCAGTCTATGAACTGAGCTAGCACGTTGGTGTTGATGTGAGACTTGGGCAATTCCATTAGGTCCACCATGATTTATGCCACCCAAACCTGTGATAGGCATGAAACAAGCCAATGACTGAAACTGAGTGCCCTGCAGGCACCTATTCCTGCTACCTCTAATAGGGCAAGTTTGTTGCATTTCTAGGCTTTGCTGGGTTATTCAAAAGAGGAATGAAGGCAACTACATAAAAATTGGAAGAGTACCAAACTCAGACACTACTTACTGAGCATAGGTAATGTGTCATCCTAGAAAGTTCCAGAACTGTTCAAAGCTAAATATGATTGCAGTTTCTGAAATCTCAAAATAAAAATCACTTGCTTGGTGGAGGAGTCAGCAGAGGCCAGTGCTTAACCCAAAGGATGGGTGTGCTAGTGGTAGACTTACAGGCATGTTGAGAAATGGTGGAGGGGAACACAGGAACATGGGAGGTGAAGAGGTATTTCAGTGCTCCTCAAGTTACCAGGAACAGGCAGGGGCTCTGGGGATGGATGAACCACTATAGGACAGCAAGTCACCTATGCTGGGGCGGGGGGGTTAATACCCTCCCTTCTGCTCATCTACCATACCATTTTCCTGTAATGGAGTTTGAATTCAAGGCCTTATGCTTGCTAGGCAGGTGCTCTACCACTTGAGTCATGCCCCTAGTTCTAAAACCTGTGCAGTTTTGTGTTTTTATTTTATTAAGTTTGGGTGTGCTGGTGATGGAACTCACTTGCTCATGCTCTGCAAGTGCTGTACCACCGAGCCATATCCTCAGCTTCTTCTTCAACTCTTCAATTTGGAAGACCCAACATTTTGTGTATCACCAAATCATTTTTGGTCTGTTTCTCTTTATGTATCAACAATAAAATCTCAGGCTTTTTTTCACTATTATTTGGAATGCCAAAGCAATTAAAATATTTACTGACTAGAAAATAACTAAAACAACAGCAATTTTAGAGTATTTTTCAAATTTCACATGTACCTTCCCCTCATCAGAGATCTGATAGACTTCCCAGAAAGATCTGTTCCTCCCTTCCCTGCTGTGCCTGCGTTGGAGATTGTTTCCAAGGGTACCTGCCAGTCTATGGGAAAGTTTCTGTGCCCAGAAAATCTTGTAGGCTCCCTGAATGGTACCTCCAGGCCAGCAAGGCAGTGGTCTTAACTCTCATTGTCTCTAGCCCAGGCATGCTGTTTGTCAAGATCATCTCTGCTGACACAATGAGAAGTCAGAGTCAGCAAGAGGAAATAGTCTCTGACCACAGCCAGTCCCCCTAAGCTGTGGGATGCGGGCTCCCCCACACTGCTGGTCAGTCCACAGGCCATTGCTCATGTCTGCAAAACACTGTTTCTCTCTAGGGCCTGCGGCTGGTGTCCTAGAAAGGAGTGTAGGGTGAGTGGCTGCCCAGTTGGAGGACATCTGGATGCCCCATTTGCCTGTAAGATAGAAAGACAGTGGAGGACCTGAGTTGGTGGCTTTGGAAACTGGCAGTCCCCAAGGTGGAACGCCATGTGGTAACCAGGTTCTGAGGAGCGATAGCTAAGTCAATGGAGAGACTCATCTCGAGAGAATTTTGCAGCTGCTCATTTGCAATTTATAGCTGACCAAGCTTTAAAAAGATTCCAACCCTTGTATGTGTAATGAGGCAGAGGAAATTTTATTCACCGTGATTTCTCTTAGGAAGAAGGCTGTCTTTGTTCTCAGAATGCCTTGAACAAGGCTTCAGAGGAGGAGGAGGCTGCTCTGCTTGACAAGGGGGAAGAACTTTGCTTTTTGATTCTAAAAAGAGAGCAAAGGGAAGGAAGAAGAGAAGCAAAGAGTGGAAAGGAGAGCAAGTAATTGGGGTGAGCTGAAAGACCAGTAGAAGCAGTGACACAGTGGAGATGTGGCTAGGGCTCTTTTAAGATTGTACCTGTGCTTGTGAAATT